ATAAGGATTATCTTAAAACAAAGAGGGAAGCAGGAGAGTCAGAGTCAAAGAAGGCAATGTAATAGCAGAAGCAGAGGTTGGAGTAATGTCAGGGCCATAAGCTAAGGAATGCAGGCACCCTCTAAAACCTGAAAAAGTCAAGGGAATGTATTCTACCCCAGAGTCTTTAGAAGGAATACAGCCTTACTGATCCATTTCAGACTTCTGACTTCCAGAAATGTAACATAATAAATTTGTATTATTTTAAGCCACTGAAGTTGTGATAATTTGTTAAAGCAAATTATAAGGAGAACTAATATAGTATGCAATCTTTCACCTAGTCCTTTCATTATTGATCCTCTACTTTAAACTGTGCCTGATGTTTTATCTTTTCAGGGAATAACCCCCCAGTCTTCTGCTAGGTTAGGAGAGGGACAGTTGCTTTGCTGCTGAATAGACAAAATATCTTCCTTATTTTCAGCCAAATATCGTTTCTGCTTCCAGAGGTACTTAGTGGTACCAATTCCTGGACTTCTAGTGTTTCTGTAGCTGGGGAGTGGTCAGCCAGCTTGCTTTCTAGCATCTCCGCTGCTGACTTAAGCTTGCAGTTCAGCTTTCCTGGGCTGTAAAGTCCGTTACCACTTACCCTTCCACCTCCAGCTTCCAACATTTTGTTGCTATTATTTCTCTTCATTTTTCCTTGTATTTGTGGTGGCTTCCTCTTCCTCCCCTGCACACACACACAAAAAATCCTATTATTTTGTGATTTCTGATTTAAGGAGAAAGTCGAAGTTCACATGTATGGTCAATCAACTTTGACAAAGTTGAAAGTCCTGTTATTTTATACTGATTTTTCATTGACATAGTGCTATGTTATGCCACATATCATACATATGGGACTAATTTGTGCCAGTAGAGCCATGTAGGACAATATGTTAGTGTGACATATTGAAATTAAATAAATGGTTTTGGTAGCAGGAGGCCTAGATTTAATTAAAGGTGTTGCCACTTACTAATGATATGCATTTGAGTGATGCACTAAACCAAGCCTTAGATTCCTCATCTGTAAGTGGCAGAAAGCATATTTAATCCACAGATTATTAAAATAATTAATGTACACCAGATGATGGATAAAAGCACTTGACCAACAATGTACCTCCCTTACAGAAAATTACAAGTGAACTGAGATTGAATTAAATAGATAGTACTTTGGGTTCTTTCTTGTAACAGAATTGAAGATAGTACTTTGAGTTCTTTCTTGTACTCAATGCAATATTTGTAAGGTGAATAAATGTCTTCTGTTAATGAAGTATTTTGGAAAAAACCAATAATGAATATTGAGATTCACTAAATGCCACATGAATCTTAAAATAAGCAAAATATAAAAATTAATTTTTAAGTTTTAAAGTATTTCTTATCCCCTCATTTTCTTTCCTTTTTGCAGAAGACTTTATTTTAAACTTTTAATTATTCAATTTCTCTTAAAAAAAAGTCATGGATGCATTTTTTTTTGAGACGGAGTCACATTCTATAGCCAGGTTTGAGTGCAGTGGTACAATCTTGGCTCACTGCAACTTCTGAGATTCTCCTGTCTCAGCCTTCCGAGTAGCTGGGATTACAGGCACGAGCCAACATGCCCAGCTAATTTTTGTATTTTTAGCAGAGATGGGGTTTCACCATATTGGCCAGGATGGTCTTGATCTCCTGACCTCATGATCCTGCTGCCTCGGCCTCTCAAAGTGCTAGGATTACAGGCATGAGCCACCGCACCCTGTCAGATGGTTGGTTTTAAACAAAGAAAGAAAGAGCAGCCTCATCAGCCCTTTTCTAAAACTTAGACTAGTCTCTTAATTAGATTCCTTATTTCCCCTTTTCCCCTCCCTTCTCCCCTTTCCCCTAATACCCTTTCATCACCACAGGAGGGGTAATCTTTAAAAGAAAAAATTCATATCAGAGCAAAGCACTTCCCTGCTTAAAATCCCTCTTCAACATTCCATTTTTCTTGAAATAAAAACAGAACTCCCTGGCAGAACCTACCCAGCCTTGCAAAGCTCCAGCCTCATCTCCAGCCCAGTTTTGTATCCCTTGTCCACTTTTCTCTTAGGATTATCAGTTACACTGGTTCCTTTCATTATTGAAATTTGCCAAGCTCCACCCTTTCTCAGAGACTTTCCTCTTGCTTTTCCCTCTGCTTGAAATGCCCTTCCTCCACGTTTGCCTGGCTAACTTCTACTCATCCTACAAGTCTGCCTAAATATCATCTCTCCTGGAAACCTTACCCTGACCCCCTAAAACTAAGATTCTCCTGTTGGTTACTTGCCGAGAGCCTGGTACTTCCTTTTTATAATGCTTACCCCAGTTGAACTTCAATATTGTGTAATTAATTACTTAGTTCTTTTTCTCTTCCTTTACCTCTATAAAGACAGGGACTACATCTGTTTTCTTTACTGTTTTATACACGTTAAAGGAAAAAATTTAGACAAATTAAATTTATTAGAATTTAATTGAGCAAAGCACAATTTGTGAATTGGGCAGCCCCAAACCATAATAGGTTGAGAGAGACTTCGATGCTACCATGTGGTCAGAGGTTTTAGGGACAGAAAAAGGAAAGTGACCTGCAGAAAATGGAAGGGAGGTAAAAAAACAGCTGGATTGGTTACAGCTGGTTTTGCTTTATTTGAAGAGTTGGCTTCCTGTGATTGGCTGAAACTCGGAGAATGGTAGAGGAGTAGGTTACAGTCTGTTTCAACACCCAGTTCACTATGAACAGAGAAACATTTAGGCAAATTTATAAGGAGGTAGCTTTAGACTAAATTTAACATCCACAGTACCATGCAAAATGTCTTATACATAGTAATTTCTCCATACAAATTCATTGAATAAATGGATTAATTAATGATTAGCAGAAAGAAAAAAAGGCTACATTTTAACAATATAATTTTAAGGACCCCGTTTTTATTTTCAGATTTCCTATTGGGTGAGGTAAAAAAATCTGCTATAGACCCAATGGCTTGATAAATGCTTACTTTTGACTCAATATTTGGAGCTAAGAGAATTGCTTGAGAGAACCTAGGTAGAAGAAGTATGAAGGTTATCTCTTTGCTAACCAAGTTCTGGGCAGTGTCAAGGAGAGAAGGTGGCTGCTCTGCCACTAATGCACCTTCAGTTAGACCATGTGTTCCAAGCTCCCAGCACAGTGCTTGCATTAAAAAGATGCTCAATAAATATGTGTTGAATTAACAGATAAAGGTGTCCTTTTTACTTTGCCATATGCCTTCCAAGCTGCAAGTACCCTTTGTGACTTCCTCTTTAATGCTGACATTAATGATCACTTTTGCATATCTTCAGCTGTATGTTTTGATAGAGGGAAAGTCAACATATTATTTGTGAAGGCTTAGGTCAAGCCACTCTATTTAAGGATAGCTGTCCTAAGCCCAGTTTACAAGAGCCCCATTTATTATTCTAATTCATAAATATTCCAGTGCACATTCACAAAAACCATTTCTTTCAAAGTCTCTGAAAATGTCACTGCTTACATCTAATGTAATTTTTGGAAAAGGAGCTTGTTCTAAGAAACAATAAAGAATTGAACTATAGTTTCATATGCATGGTAATGCCAATGTACTAATGAGGATTTTCTGCTGGGGATCACTTAGCTCCAAGGGAAGACAGCATGGTAAGTGTTTGCATAAAAAAACTAAACAGTTTATTTCACTGGACTGGAAGGAGGTACCCAAGTTCACATGGCTCTAGGAGATTCACAAAGGCTGTCTGCAGACTTTATGACACTCTCTTATGCGATAAGATTGTGGGGAAATAGGGAATCCTTTTCTGGCATTTAAAAGATGTTATCTGATAGTTTCTTGAAATTTGTCAGCTAGAGCTTTATTTATTCCGCTCAGGGATGGCAAATTACCTCAGTGCATGCCAAGACAATATATTGATAATGGCTGCTATAATGAGAAAGGTTCTGAGGTCTTACTTAGTCTCCTCAAGAATGTGTTGTCACCACTTAGCAATGATAGTTATGAGTTTTAGAATGGGGATTGGTGGAGTGCCAGATATTTAATATCCTTAAGACTTTTTTGTTTGGTTTTGTTAAAATTTAAGTAATTATATCTAAAAGTCTCATTTAGTCTTCACATAAACTCTATGAGGCAAGTACTGCTATAATCTTGATTTTTTTTTCAGATGAGGAAACTAAAGATACATTGTTCCCGAAAAGTATTTAGTCAATTAGTGGTGGACTTATATTTGAATACATGCTTATCTAAACTAACTCCAGGACTTATATTTGAATACATGCTTATCTAAACTAACTCTAGAGCCCAAGCTCTTAACTGCCATATAACATTTCTTAAGAATTCTGGAGCTTTGACATTTAAAGCTGTTATCACTTATGCATACCCTAGAATGAATGAGTTTCTTTCTACTGTCTTATCTAAGATAAGAAAAAACAAAATATTAATAAGGCTGGCAAACTTGAAGACAAACTTTACTTTATAACACTGTGTAAGACTAATTTTTTATCTAAATATTAAAAATGAAATTTGGTGTATGACTACTCTAGTGAAGGAAATACAAATTATTTCTGGATATTTTAAGGTTATAATGCAGTGGATACCTATCACTTATACCTCCACATCTAATCTAAGTGCAAGTATTACTCCCAGATTAGGTTTTTTACTCACTGAAACTTTTTATTCTTAAAGTAATGCTGTTAATCACTATGCCCTGATGAGATTCTAAAGGTTCTTATATTGTTTTCCTTAAACACTTAAAGCATGTTCATTTAATGAGACTATTTATGGAAACATACTGCTATCATTTCCCCCAAGTATTTATTTCTGTAATTAACAGTTAAATTATTTATAAATGTCCAATTTATAGTATCCATGTAAAATAGCTTGACTTTTACCCAAATGCAGAGAAAACAAACCAAAAGTCTTCAAATGTTTTTAGGTGGTATAAGAAATGTCAGAGTATCCTTTGATTTCTTGCCTGTTTTCTTTTTTTCACAGAAAAATCTGTCATTGCTCAACCAATATTTGTTTTTAAAAAGAGAGAACATACTTTTAAGGTGAGATTGACTACTTCTTTGTTTAATGTTACTTTGACCAAGATAATTACATTTCAGGAAGCTAGTTATCCTGAAAGTTTATCCTGTTCTTAACTAGCACAGTAGTGCCTCCAGATTATTTATATAGTCAGGATTTACAAACATCAGTCTGGCTGGAATGGGAAGCCAGAGGACTTGACTTGCAGCTATGGATAACATACTGTTTTACTATAGTAATATCTTTATTTGGAGTAATTTGAAAAGGGGAGGAGCTGAAAGATATTAGGAGGGCTATAGCTATTCATGAGTCCTCGCCACTGACCTAGTCTAAAACTGAGTAAAAAATAAATTCTAAATTATGATATCTGATTTAAAAGGGGTCTTTTGAACTCTGTCTGCTTTTTTGGCATCATACTAAAATTATCCATTTTGAAAGACCAACAATAAGATTAGTTGCTGGGCGTGATGGCTTGTGCCTGTAATCCCGCACTTTTCAAGGCCAAGGTGGGAGGATTATTTGAAGCCTGGAGTTCGAGGCTAGCCTGATCAATAAAGCAATACTCCATCTCTACCAAAAAAAAAAAAAAATGAAATTAGTCAGGCATGGTGGCACATGCTTGTAGTCAGTCCCAGCTACAGGAGCCTGAGACAAGAGGATTGCTTGAGTCCAGGAGTTAGAAGTTGCAGTGAGCTATGATTGCACTGCTGCACTGCAGGCTGGGTGACAGAACAAGACCTCAACTGTAAACAAATGAATAGAAACAAACAAAAAACCCCACTAGATTCTCAGTTTAGCTTATTTATTGGTATTCATTCTGACTCATGAAGGTAATTTAACCTCTACCCACAAAAACACTAAACAAAAAACCCACAAATTTACAAGAAAAAAACAACTCCATCAAAAGTGGGCAAAGAATATGAACAGACACTTCTTAAAAGAAGATATTTATGCAGCCAGCAAATATATGAAAAAAAGCTCATCATCACTGGTCATTAGAGAAATGCAAATCAAATCCACATTGAGATACCATCTCATGCCAGTTAGAATGGTGATCATTAAAAAATCAGGAGACAACTGATTCTGGAGAGGATGTGAAGAATAGGAACGCTTTTACACTGTTGGTGGGAATGTAAATTAGTCAAAACATTGTAGAGGTCAGTTTGACAATTCCTTAAGGACCTAGAACTAGAAATACCATTTGACCCAGCAATTCCTTTACTGGGTATATACACAAAGGATTACAAATCATTCTATGATAAAGACACATGCACATGTATGTTCACTGTAACACTTCACAATAGCAAAGACTTGGAACTAACCCAAATGCCCATCAACGATAGACTGGATAAATAAAATGTGGCACATATATACTATGGAATACTATGCAGCCATAAAAAAGGATGAGTTCATGTCCTTTGCAGGGACATGGATGAAGCTGGAAACCATCATTTTCAGCAAACTGACACAAGAACAGAAGAAACAGAACACTGCATGTTCTCACTTTAAGTGGGTGTTGAACAATGAGAACACATGGACACAGGGAGGGGTATGTCACACACTGGGACCTGTCAGGGGGGTGGGGTGCTAGGGGAGCATTAGCAGGGTGTGGGAGGATTGGGGAGGGACAGCATTAAGAGAAATAACTAATGTAGATGATGTGGTGATGGATGCAGCAAACTACCATGGCACATGTATACCTATGTAACAAACCTGCATGTTCTGCACATGTACCCTAGAACTTATAGTATACTACTAATAATAACAATAATAAAACCTCCTAGTCTGCTGTTAAAAAAGCAGATTCCTGGGCCCCATCCTAGAACAACCATTTCAGAATCTTGAGAATAGGTGCTTCAAAATCTACATTTTAAACAAACTTCCACAAGTGAGTCTGCAGTCATTGAACTATAAAACCACTGTACTAGACTTTTGGTTTTTCTTGACTATGTGCCTAACAAATGAAGGTGAACTTCTTTGTCCTGGCTGGGCCGATTAGCCCTGGTGTCTGAGAACTCTATATAAAGTGGCAGGGTGGAAATCTGATATACTAGGTTGACACAAAAGTAATTGTAATTTTTGCCATTACTTTTAATTGCCAAAACAATTGCCAAAACTGCAATTACTTTTGCAATAACATAATACAAAAGCATTACTCAGCTCTCCTCAGTAGTTTTGTTTCCTTTCAGAGACCTGCAGAAGACACCCGGTATGAAGCAACAGAACCAGGTAATGATTTTCATCCTGTATTCCAAAATTAATCTTTATACAAAGAAAATTAGCAGACACAAGTATTTTGGCATGTGGTGCAGACTATGTGAAAGTTAATGTTTTTTCTTGTTTTTAAATATGCCGGTAGATTCACTTTTGTTTGCAAAGATGATATATAGGTCTCTGAGAACACTGACGTTAGTTGCTAAAATTTATTGTGCTCCACTCCCTTAGCCTATCAGAAACATTCTCTGTAGACCTCAGACTGCATATACAGTTTTTTTTTTTTTTTTTTTTTTTGCCAATGCCACTCATTTCTAATTGTTTCACACTAGGATGATATGCCTATAGGTTTATAATCAATCAGCAACCTATTAACACCAATATTTAAAATAGTGTTTTAAGAGTTAATGTGTTATCAAATGATGATCTGTGTAGACAAAAGAAAATTCTGTTTATCTTACCCTCTCATGAGTTGAGGATAATTTGTTACTGCAAGTTATTTTCGCCTTTCCATTGCTTTTCTTGCAGAATGTAATGGTTTTTCAAGAAAGCGTGTGCGGTCTTCATCTTTTACTTTTCATATTACAGATTCTCAGTCCCAGGGAGGTATGTATAGCCTTGGATGTTGACTATTCACTGTTATGTTTATTTTGAATGCAAAATTACTGAGAAACTTTTCAAAAAGGCAATGTCAAAATTCTATCAACTGAATAGTGTTTGTAATATATTGGTATGTGAAAACAAGAAGCTATACAATGATACAGTGAGTCAGTATTTAAACGTTCCATTTATCAGCATTGGGAAAAATACCAAAAGGACATAAGCCACGATGTTGGCAGTGGTTATCTTAAGTAGAGGAATTGCAAGTGATTTGGTCTCCCCACAACCATGCCTTTGTATTTTGCTGTGTTTCCAAAGTTTCTGCATTGACCATGTATTAGCTTTGTAACTAGGGGAAAGTGTCTTTTTTAAGGTAACCACCTATTTAAATAAATGGATGTTTACCCTTTGAAAAGAATTTTATCATACACTGTATTCTGAGTAAATCAATAACTTAGTTTGCTTCTCTTCTATGCGGAAAGCAGTCCAGTGATTTCTTTTATAATGAGCTCTATGGCTTCTGCTTTGTAATACAGCATCTGTGTATATATTCCTCCTCCACTGTGAGTTCCTTAAGGTCATCTTCATGCCTGATAGTGTCTTACATATGGTGAGCACAAAATAAATATTTACTGTTGAATGGAATTGAATAGAAATTAATTTACCATCCTCATCAGATGTATTCCTTGTTTGTATCAATAAAAAGATTTTTCTAAATTAGTTACAGAAATTTTTCCCAAACAGCAAAACTCCAAATCAAAACAAAACAAAAAACTCACTTTCTTATTGACTTTAGCTTGCAATCTGCTTTTAGTGTCAACCTTGTCTCAGAAGCAGGTGAGATCGTCATCCTTCATTGACCTCCCAACCTTCCCCACTTCTGGGCTAGGTAATAAAGAGTTTCTAGAACCTCAAGCCTGACACTCTGACTTTTCGAAATCATTCTTATTAATGATAACTTTTCTTTCTTAGCTATCATAAAATGCTGACACTTTAGAAACAAATCAAATAGAGGCCTTAGCAAAGTATGCATGGAAGAATACCTTATGAATTCTAACTTCACAAATTCAGAGTACATGTTTTTACCTTTGATAGAAAGTTTGAACTTAATGTTTTTTAGGATTTGACATTTATAACAGCGTTATTTTATTTAAGGCAGACCTATAAAAGTAAAAACACTTTGCACTATTTTACTTATTATTGTCCGTCTATGTAGTTTATAATGTATAATATTTAAAACACGCAATTATGCATTAGATTCATATTTTAAGTTTAGCATATAAATCCATTAAAATTTCCACTAATTAAAACATTACTCCTCTTTACTTGAAATTTATGTTTTGCTAAGTAAAACTATTTTACCATAATAAAACATTTGAAATGTTTGGCATTTTCCCCACATTAAAATGATCTCTATTCTAGTGTTTTTATTTCTACTAAACAATCAACTGCCTTTTCCAAGTTAGGTTTGCCACTAAGAAAGAAAAAGAAAATACTACTTACTTCCTTTGAATTGATCCCCATCTACCCAGGAACTACAGAATTTTTCAACAAATAAATCTATATTTTTATTAAAAATTCTAGGCATGACTGACTAACAGTATATCCAGTACCTTTCAGATGCAGAAGAGACACTTTTTAGTGTCTCTAACTCTTCTAACCTGACTGACAAGTTCAGGCATTAAGAGAAATAGAGATCCTGGCCGGGTGTGGTGGCTCATGCGTGTAATAACAGCACTTTGAGAGGCCAAGGCAGGCAGATCGCTGCAGGCTAGGTGATCCAAACCAGCCTGGACATCATGGCAAAACCCAGACTCCATTAAAAATACAAAAATTAGTTGGGCATGGTGTTGCACACCTGTAGTCCCAGCTACTCAGGAGACTGAGGCAAAAAAGAGAGAGTGAGAGAGAAAGAGAGATCCTAATCCCAGAGGCAAAGGTGTTCTGTTTTATTGTATTTGTACATAAAACAAAGGAATGGCTAAGATATCTACATACCTGCTTTAATTCATTTTTTACTGGACACTCACACAAAAAGAAAGAACATCGTTGTCTTTTATGTTGTTCAGTAAGCACCATTCTGTTTTATGTTTTGCAGAATGTTACTGGTGTTTGGAAGTAGAAAAATGTGGCTCTTTTTTGTTGATGTTCAATAATAAAGATTCTTAAAAAACATTAAATTGAACTTTGAAGTAAGAAGGGATTCTACCCCAACATTTATGTTATGACACCTTAAATAATACTTAGAAGAAACAATTATTCTCTTCTCATTTTCATTAATTAAATGCTAAAGGTTGTGGTTTCTGCAATTTGCAGTCAACAGGAGATCCCTTTGAACTGTATAGAAATTCTATACTTGGAGCCACCACCACAGTCTTAACCCTACCAACACACTCATAGAAAAATAACCTATCAGATTGGTCATCTTTACTTTTTTCTTCAGGGATACTCATTAAAAAGTCAGGGAGCGTGGGCAGACTTTGCTAACAGTTTTATAATATTCAATAAGAGCTACATATTAATGCTGGAGGGTTCATTACCAATTCAGATTTTATAGTCTGCAGAATTTCTGAGAGTACACTATTTAATGATTCTCAAAAAGGCTGCCTTTTCCACTAGTTACCTAATTTTCATTTAGATTTCTGAAAGTAAACAGAACTATGTAGCAGAATGCATCTGGCAATCCCATTTTTAGCGGAGCTAGTGCTCCAGAGAGCCACTACCTACTACTCCGTTAGTGCCAATTGCGACATCTACTGGTAAATTCAGAATGGGATTGTTAAGCCCCAAATAGTGTAGAATCTGACACTCTGCTGTGTTTAAAAATTTTTAAATATTTTTTCTTACAGTGAGGAAAAACAATGTTTTTATGACATCAACTCTTGTGCAAAGTAATGTTGATATAAAGAGTGCAGAAAAAGGTATGTAGCTTCTATTTCAAGAACCTCAGAAATTGTGTATTTTATCACCTATATTTTCATCTCCCTACATATATATGTGTGTTGGAGGCATGGAGGTAGGTCAGAGTGACAAAAAATGAAGAAATAATGTAGGTAAGCCAGGTTTCATGATCAAAATGAATAGTTATTGAGCAAAAGCTAGGCATGGTGTGACTAGTAGGCAACTCGATGGTTATTTTGATTTTGATTAATCAACATTAGTCCCTCATTTAAACATGGCTTTAGAAAATAAGAATATATTAGTTAAAAATAGGGAGTAAAGAAATGTTTCACTAAAAATACACTTATCCTTTAATTCTATTCTTTTAAGGTCCTGTGAAACATTCTGAACGTGTTCTTAGACCTGCTATTTTGCAGCTACCTCAAGCTCGAAGTTGTGCAAAAGCAAGAAAAACATTTGGACACAAGGCATCGGAATCCTGCAAGACTAAAGAAAAAACAAAAAATAAGGTGAGAAAGCCCAGGATAACAGGACTGACCTCAATCCCACATCCTTCATTTTTATAGGTTGTTTCAGGCCCCCATATCCAGAAATAGGAGTTGCATGAGCTTTGTTTTGTTACTGGGCTAGATAGCAAAAAGTCCTTGGTAACCCTTTTTTTTTTTTTTTTTTTTTTTTTTTTTTTTTGAGACAGAGTTTCACTCTTGTTGCCCAGGCTGGAGTGCAATGGCACCATCTCAGCTCACCACAACCTCCACCTCCCCGGTTGTGTCCGCTACTAAGCCTGGCTACTTTTTGTATTTCTAGTAGAGATGGGGTTTCACCATGTTAGCCAGGCTGCTCTCGAATGCCTGAACTCATGATCCGCCCGCCTCAGCCTCCTAAAGTACTGGGATTACAGGTGTGAGCCATCACTCCCGGCCCACATCACTTCTTAAATAAAAGTAAGGAATTATGTAACATGGTGATAATTATTACATTCTATTTAAATGAAAACAGTAATATCCTTATCTAAAATCGAAAACATGTTTTACTTAAAAATTACTTATTTAGCATTCATAAATGATGAAATGATTTTTAAAATTCATAATGGATCTCCCCAGATCATATCTTACAAAGTAAAGGGTTTAGAAATATAAAAATATTGGTAAGCGCTGATCAAGTCCCTTACTTTGCTGATAAAAAAGGATGTTGAGTGGGTGTTTTGTTTAGATAAACAAAGACAACGGCAGAGTCAAAATTAATACCAATCTGGTATTTTTTTACACTTCCATGTTTCTGTCCTTATATTCACTAAGTGAAAACAAAACAAAGCAAAACTATGTGACCAAGTAGTTCAGCTAGAAACAAATGGCTAAGATGGAATAACTCTCAAATTCCAATCTACCTATCTTGAGTCCTCTTTCTCCTGTGTCTGCTTCTGCTGGGAGACAGAGGTACACTACAGCAATTGAATATATCCCCAAACCAATATCTGCATGGCTTGAGTAAGTTACTATCTCTTTAGAAAGGCCTATGAAGAGTGTTTTGGACATTACGTAGTTGGAAGTTAGAATTCTTATCTGTCTCTGGAGGCTTTCCAAGCGCTCCCAATTACACTGTATAGGGAGTTCTCTGCTCCTGTTTTGCTGGAATATGGGTCTGGAGTGAATCCCTGGTATGACCTAAACTGGCAAAGTTACACTGTGATGTTGACTAGTTGGCAATGTAGAAAATCCCTGCCCCTTTTTTGACTACTGATTCTGGCCCTTGGCTTTCTCATTGCTGTCCTCATACAAAACAGGGTAATTGCTCTGGGACAAGACCCCCAGGTTTCCACTGCCCAGTACTCAGCTTTACAACTTTAGAAACACCACAAGATTTGTGAGACTACAACTCTCCAATGTAAGAGTACAGCTTTAACAAGGTTACTAAGGGCTGGACAGGCACAGTGGCTCATGCCTGTAATCTCAGCACTTTGGGAGGCCGAGGCGGGCAGATCATCTGAGGTCAGGAATTCGAGACCAGGCTGACCAACATGGAGAAATCCCGTCTCTACTAAAAATACAAAACAGCGGGCGTGGTGGTGCCTGCCTGTAATCTCAGCTACTTGGGAGGCTGAGGCAGGAGAATCACTTGAACCTGGGAGGTGGAGGTTGCAGTGAGCCGAGATTGTGCCATTGCACTCCAGCCTGGGCAACAGAGTGAGACTCTGTCTCAAAAAAAAAAACCAAAAAACCAAGAAAAAAAGAAAGAAGTGATGCAGGTGTTGGGGCTCGCGCTTATATTTCTAGCACTTCGGGAGGGCAAGATGAGCAGATCTCTTGAGCTAAGGAGTTCCAGACAAGCCTGAGCAACATAGTAAAACACTGTCTTTAAAAAAATACAAAAATCAGCTGGGCAGGGTGGGATGCACCTGTAGTCCTAGCTTGAGCCTGGGAGGAGGAGGTTGCAGTGAGCCAAGATGGTGCCAGATTGGGTGACAGAGTCAGACTGTCTCAAAGAAAAAAAAAAAAAAGGAAAAAAAGAAATGTGCATGGTGTTTAATTTGTTTTAAATTATGTAATAGAAAGTATAATATGTTGACTAATTTCTAAAAAGTTATATTGCATTTGATTTTAAAATGGCATGTACTAAAAATATAGAGCAAAATTTATTTACATATTATGACATCAAAAGTACATCAATACTTCTTTTTTGGGAGAATTTTTGTAAATCTTGCATTGCATATTTTTAAAATAAAATTTATTATTTCTTGTGTTTTCTTCCTAAATGATCAAAGCATAAGAGAACATTTTAAGCTATTGTTTGTATGCATTTTTGAATAAATTATAAGGTCTAGTGAATAAACCTTATTTTCAGTTATTGAAAAGCCCTATTGTATATGCCCATCATTAAATTTTCTATTTAATGATCTTTAAAGATCCAGAGACATATTGTATATAAGAGGTTATGTAAGAATTTTGGCCAAATGAATGTAATTGAAAGATTTGGTGAAAACTATCTCTAGGTGGATTTCGTAGAACCATTATCCTTATAGTTCTTATTAACTTGTATATCAAAATCAGAGAAATTATTTTTCATCCTATCATTTATCAGTGGTTACTTAGAATGTATAGATTAAACAATATATGCCTAAATAACTATTTTAACCAACATAGGAGTAAAAACTACCATTTTGTCTGAGAGATACATCATCTGAATGACTAGGTCACAAGCAGGTACTTTGATCTTTGCTAACCATCGCACATGCTCTCTTGATACACGTTTGTCAGTTCTCAAACTCCTGTTAAAAAGGAAAAAATACTCGAAATTATTTTTATTGATTGATATAAAAATGTAAGTGGAAACATACCCCATCTGACTTTAAAAGACATGAACGCCCTGGAACACCTTTGTGAATCCCTGGTCAAGGATGGAAGGTGTCCACAATATACTGTAAATACTAGACCAGACAATTTATAGGGCTTCTTCCAATTCTAAAATTCCTCACTCTTACATTTATATGTTAATTCAGGTATTGTGCATACACATATGTACATAAGGCAAAGTAACTGGTTAAGTTGCCAGTTGAAAATTTCAAAATAAAGAGATGAGTGGAGTTTTCTCTCACATTGGGTGACTATCATGGTGACATTCTTAGGGTGTTTCCAAGGATTAAACAGTCCTGAAAGAAAGCTTTACTAATCCAGAAATGAGAATTAACACAATTTTACTAAAATGGCAAAATTGACAAAACGTAGTGAGATTTCTGAATATTATAATATTCTGATATTAGACATATCTCCATTGTATGCAACCTGGGCAAGTTATTTATGTTCTTTGTGTCAGTTTACTCAACTGTAAAATGTGGATAATAGAAGTACAAAGTGTATAGATAGAATTGTGAGGAGTGAATGAGATAGTACTTAGAATGTTTAGGGCAGTACTTGAACATAGTAAGCTTTCTCTCTCTCTATGTATATATGTATACACACATATTTTTTTTTTTTTGAGACGGAGTTTCACTATTGTTACCCAGGCTGGAGTGCAGTGGCGCGATCTCTGCTCACCGCAACCTCCAGCTCCTGGGTTCAAGCAATTCTCCTGCCTCAGCCTCCTGAGTAGCTGAGACTACAGGAGCACACCACCATACCCATCTAATTTTTGTATTTTTAGTAGAGATGGGGTTTCACCATGTTGACCAGGATGGTCTTGATCTCTTGACCTCGTGATCCACCTGCCTCGGCCTCCCAAAGTACTGGGATTACAAGTGTGAGCCACCGTGCCTGGCCTCAATATATTTAATTACAACTATTGTTTCCTTGTCTGACGGTTCTATAGCAAAGTAGTCTTTATAAATTTCTGATGGATTTCTTTACTTTCAGATTTCTGAGGGAAATTCTTATTTGTTAAGTGAAAATGTATCAAGTGCCAGAATTTCAGTCCAGCTGTCTACTAAGCAGCACTTTTTAAGTGCAACATCAGTAGGGTAAGTTAATAATCAGAAAACAGAAGGGGTGCCCTTTCATTCTTGCATTCTTTCATTATTATAACCATTCATGGAAAATCATTTTCTGATCTTGTATGGATAAATTGCCAAGATTCTGATTTGAAAGGAGACTTTATAGGAACACAAGTTTAAAATATTTTTTAAAATATTAGATACGTAAATATTATCATATAAATACTGAATTATCCTCATTGTCTCATTGACTTGGGTGAGAACTTTTTGAAAAGGTGTGGCTAAACTTTTATTTAGTTGGGCATAAATTATCTGGTTAGTAGATTAGCCTTTCTTCCTCTCTCTCTGGCATTTTTTTTTTCTCTTTTAAATTATTTTGGCATTATTCATTATTTACTGGCATAAGTTAGATAGACAACAAAGAAAGAAGTACAAATCTACAATATTTATTAGTATTTATTAGTGTTACTAGTGAAAAGAAATGTTTTATCTGAGAGAAAACTAGCTGTGGATATAAATTGGCTCACATGATTGGGCTCTGTCCAGGTGCGTTAGCAGGTGCCTTCCGTGCACATTGGGGATGCAGTGCAGAGCCCTGAGCACATCTGTCTACAAAGAGAGGGTTTCCTGCCTTTGAGTTTCTCGTCATAAAAAAATACTTTTAACATTAAAACAAGTTTCTGGGAAGCAAAAAAATTTAAACCAATGCACACTCAACTATTAACAGGTTTCGCTTTTGCCCTGGAGGTCTCTGGCTGTTAAAAGCATCAGGCACTTGGGGAAGAGAAGAGTGGAAATTAGATACTAGACAGGCTGTGTTGGAAAAGCAAAAAGGGTTGGGCAGCCCTCCTGGCTGACCACACAGCCAGTGTAGTGATGGCCATGAGGAAGCCAGGACTGGTCTCTGCCATTGCTGTAATAGCTGGAATCTATTTTGTTTATCACCTCTGGATGCTCCTATCTGAATTTTTCTATCATTTCTCATAACTTCAAACAAACAAAAGTGAGCAGTAAATTTGCTTTACACAAATCTATTAAATTATCTAATTATTTCAAGGTTTAAAATGGCTTTATTCAGGTATTCAAAATAGTAAATGCTTTTTTTTTTCCTTAGATGTCAACCAAACGAAGATAAATGTTTTTTAAAAAGCTGCAGTTCCAATTTTGTTTTTGGAGAAAATATGGTAGAAAGAGTTTTGGTAAGATTTTGATATATGTTTTTATTACTATATACAGAGCTGTCACTTTAAATTTCTAAAGGCAAATTAATGAAAAATAATATTAAATTGGATTATTCTTTTTAACTCCTGAGTTTAAAGGGACATTTTCTTTCTTTAACTGGAAAGATTCTCCTGAGAAGCATGTCCTAGTTGCTAAAGCAATAGAAACCCACAGAGGAAGGGAAGCGTATAATTATAACATTATTATTGATGTGAAATATTAAATAGTTCTTTGACTTGTGTTGGGCCAAGGAAATCCCAGAATTATCTGCAATAGTTAGATAAGCTCAACTGGTAATATTTTAATAGTTTGCTGATTGCACTGTTTTATAACAAGATGCATTTAAAATTATTTGCCAATTTGTTCTTATTAGTTAGCCACAACCCTACTTTCAAGCTCTTACATCAAAAAGCATTATTATAACTTTTCTTTTGCTAGCTTTCAGAGAAAATTCATAGTGCTTTACTTGCGTATGAAACTATATTTGACTGATGAAAACCCCTGACAGTTATTACCATCATCCTTATTTAATACTCAGCGTCCTTTTGCAAGAACCAACTCATTAAGCCAGCTTATTCCAAGATTTTTTTTTTTTTTTTAATGGGGTCTTGCTCTGTCTCCCAGGCTGGAGTGCAGTGGCACAATCTCAGTTCACTGCAACCTCTGTCTCCCTGGCTCAAGGGATCCTCCCACCTCAGCCTCCCAAGTAGCTGGGATCACAGGTACCCACCAACCACACTTGGCTAACTTTTTGTATTTTTGGTAGAGACAGGGTTCACCATGTTGCCCAGGCTGGTCTTGAACTCCTGAGCTCAAGCAATCCATGCGCTTTGGCCTCCCAAAGTGCTGGGATTATAGGCGTGAGCCACTGAGCCCAAACTCATCCCAAGATTTTTAGGGCTTTCATATATTATTCATTTTAAAGGCATAGTTTATTTTATACATGCTTCAGACTACATACCAGTTGAAGGGTAATGTCAGTTTTTTGGCTTAGACTTAGAGGAACCCTTCTGTCACTCCCAAAATGGTCAACTTACCAATCCTAGAGCTGCTGACCTATGCCTCTGAATGTGAACCAGAACAGACTAGCCTCCAAGGTGAATTAACAGGCAGTACATTTAGGCCCATTTATTCCATATCACTTATTTCTAAGTTTAACACCAGATTAGCCACAGCATCTGTAAAATAACAGATAGGGCTTTCTAAACCTCACAGGATCAACTTTACAAATTCAATTCAATTTACCAAACATGTACTGAGTTCTTATGGTATATAAAGCATTGATCTCAAATTTGGCTGCATGTTAGAATTATCCTTTCAAGGATTTTTTATGCCTGGCCTCATCCCAGAACAATTAGCTCAGAATGCCTGTGGGTGAGGCCAGGTGTCAAGTGATTCTAATGTACAGGTAGGTTTGAAAACCACCTAAGTGGTTATGCAAAGCTAAAGGAGACACTGTGCCCTACAGGTGTAAGAGGAGACCTATACAAAAAAACTATAGTCAGGACTACAGGTTTGGTTTAAGAAGGCACTTGTGCACATTTCCTATGGTCATTTTAAATCTGGCTTATAAAGGAACCTGAACTCTCTATCTCTTTAAGTTGTAAATATCGTAAGGATAACAGGAACTATAGAGATAATATGTGTTTGTCCTCTAATGCTGTCGAATTTTGGCCTTGTGATTTGGTGGCCAGGATGTACTCCTGGCTTATTGACTGACTACGTGTTTTTAGAGTGAGTCATTTAAACTTTCTGTGCCTCAGTTTATATTTTCTTAAAATGGAAATAATTATACCCATCACTACCAATGTTTTTATTATACTTTAACTTCTGGGGTACATGTGCAGAACATGTACCATGTTGGTTTGCTTTACCCATCAACCCATCATCTACATCAGGTATTTCTCCTATGCTGTCCCTCCCCTAACCCCCCATCCCCCAAAGGTCTGGTGTGTGATGTTCCTCTCCTTATGTCCATGTGTTCTCATTGTTCAACTCCCACTTATAAGTGAGAACATGTGGTGTTTGGTTTTCTGTTCTTGTGTTAGTTTGTTGAGAATAATGGTTTCCAGCTTCATCCATATCCCTGCAAAGGACATAAACTCATCCTTTTTTATGGCTGCATAGTTTTCCATGGTGTATATGTGCCACACTTTCTTTATCCAGTCTATCACTGATGGGCATTAGGCTGGTTCCAAGTCTTTGCTACTGTGAACAGTGTTACAGTAAACATACATGTGAATGTGTCTTTATAGTAGAATGATTTATAATCCTTTGGGTATATACCCAGCAATAAGATTACTGGGTCAAATGATATTTCTAGTTCTAGATCTTTGAGGAATTGCCATGCTGTCTTCCAGAATGGTTGAACTAATTTGCACTCCCAACAACAGTGTAAAAGTGTTCCTATTTCTCCACATCCTCTCGAGCATCTGCTGTTTCTTGACTTTTTTTTTTTGAAAAAGAAAGAAAAAAGAAGGAAAGAAAAAGAAAGAAAAGAATGAAAGAGAGAAACAAAGAGGAAGAGAAAGAGGGAGAGAGAATGGGAGTCTTGTTTTATTGCCCAGGCTAGAGTGCAGTCTAAAAATGGGTATTGAAAACCTCTTTTATGCCAATAATTGTGCTTAACAATGGAGACAGGAAGGAATAAGGGAGGAAAATAACAAACAAGCAGCCAACCAATATTTCATTTAAACCTATGAAATGCTATGCAATTACTGAGGAGTGATTTACTTCCAATTATATAGTCACTTTTAGAGTAGGTGTGATGTGGTACTGAGAAGAATGTATATTTTGTGGATTTGGGGTGGAGAGTTCTATAAATGTTTATTAAGTTTACTTGTTCCTGGTCTGAGTTCAAGTCCTAGATAGCCTTGTTAATTTTCTGTCTCGTTGATCTGTCTAATATTGACAATGTGATGTTAAAGTCCCCCACTATTGTTGTGTGGGAGTCTAAGTCTCTTTATAAGTCATTAAGAACTTGCCTTATGTATCTGGGTGTTTCTGTATTGGGTGCATATATATTTAGGATTGTTAGCTCTTCTTGTTGCATTGATCCTTTTACCATTATGTAATGTCCTTCTTTGCCTCTTTTGATCTGTGTTGCTTTAAAGTCTATTTTATCAGAGGCGAGAATTGCAACTCTTGCTTTTTATTTTTATTTTTAATATTTTGCTCTCCATTTGGTTGGTAAATCTTCCTCCATCCCTGTGTTTTGAGTCTTTGTGTATCCTTGCATGTGAGATGGGTCTGGATGCAGCATACTGATGGGTTTTGGCTTTTTATCCAACTTGTCTGTGTCTTTTGATTGGGGCATTTAGTCGATTTAAATTTAGGATTAATAATATGTGAGTTTAATACTGCCATTTTATGCTAGCTGGCTGCTTTGCCCATTAGTTGATGTAGATTCTTCATTATGTTGATGCTCTTTACCTTTTGGTATATTTTTGGACTGGTTGTTCCTTTCTATGTGTAGTGCTTCTTTCAGAAGCTCTTGTAAAGCAGGCCTGGTGGTTTTTCTCTGAGTACTTGCTTGTTCACAAAAGATTTTATTTTTCCTTCACTCATGAAGCTTAGTTTGGCTGGATATGAAATTCTGGGTTGAAAGTTCTTTTCTTTAAGGGTGTTAAATATTGGCCCCCACTCTCTTCTGGCTTGTAGGGTTTCTGCTGAGTGATCTGCTATGAGTCTGATGGGCTTCCCTTTGTGGGTAACCTGACCTTTCTCTCTGGCTGCCCTTAGCATTTTCTCCTTCATTTCAACCCTGGTGAATCTGACAATTATGTGCCTTGGGGTTGCTCTTCTTGAGGAATATCTTTGTGGTGTTCTCTGTATTACCTGGAGTTGAATATTGTCCTGCCTTGCTAGGTTGGGAAAGTTTTCCTGAATAATATCCTGAAGAATATTTTCCAAGTTGGATTCATTCTCTTCATCACATTCAGGTACACCTATCAAACGTAGATTAGGTCTTTTCACATAGTCCCATATTTCTTGGAGACTTTGCTCATTCCTTTTCACCCTTTTTTCTCTAATCTTTTCTTCTCGTTTTATGTCATTGAGTTGGTCTTCGACCTCTGATATCTTTTCTTCTGCTTGATCAATTCGACTGTTAAAACTTGTGCATACGTCACAAAGTTCTCGTATTGTCTTTTTCAGCTCCATTAATTCACTTATATTCCTCTCTAAATTGTCTATTCTTGTTAGCATTTCATCAAACCTTTTTTCAAGATTCTTAGTTTCTTTGCATTGGGTTAGAACATGTTCTTTCAGCTCACAGAAGTTTCTTATTATCCACCTTCTGAAGCCTGATTCTGACAATTCATCACACTCATTCTCCATCAGGCCTTGTTCCCTTGCTGATGAGGAGTTGTGATCCCATGAAGGAGGAGAGGCATTCTGATTTTGGGTGTTTTCAGCCTTTTTGCGCTGGTTTCTTCCCATCTTTGTGGATTTATCCATCTGTTGTCTTTATAATTGCTGACTTTCAGATTGGGTCTCTGAGTGGACGTCCAGCTTGTTGGTGGTGATGTTATTTCTGTTTCTTTGTTTTCCTTCAGTGGACGTCCCTCCTCCACAGAGCTGGACCTTCCCGGGTTCAGCTGTGCTTGCTGTGAAACTCTCAACCATCAGTGTTTCCAATTGCTGTTTTTTTGTAGGGGTGGGACCAGCCGATCCTGAGCACCAGGCTCCCTGCCTAGGAGCCCCGTTTTTCTTTTCCTAATTGAACAGCAGATTCTCTCCCAGATGCCCCAGCGCCTGCCGAAAAGGCGCCGGGATCTATGCAATTTCCCGTGTGGGGACCGCTCTGGCTGACAAAGTGGCACTGAGATTCGTGGCGCTTTTCTGCCCAGGAATCTCCCGGTCTGGATCTCTGCTTCAGTCCCCTTTTCAATCAGCTGAATGGGTGACTCTGCCTTCCCAGAGCTCCAAATGCCAACTAAAAGGGCACCCAGTCCCGCATACTCCACACTGAGATCCGCCATGCCGGGACGCCAGCAAAACAGCCACGCCAGCCAAAAGAGTCATGCTGGTGACCTGTGGTGCTCCTCCACTGGGAATCTCCTGGTCTGTAGGCAACAAAAATTCGTCTGGAAGTCTGGTGTCCACTCACTCCCTGAACCTTCACTGGGAGCTGCAATCCTGAGCTGTTGCTAATTGGCCATCTTGGATGTCTCTCCTGTTTCTTGACTTTTTAATGATCACCATTCTAACTAGCATGAGATGGGATCTCAATGTGGTTTTGACTTGCATTTCTCTAATGACCAGTGATAATGAGTTTTTTTTCATATGTTTTTTGGCTGCAAAAATGTCTTCTTTTGAGAAGTGTCTGTTCATATCATTTGCCCACTTTTTGATGGAGTTGTTTTTTTCTTGTACATTTGTTTAAGTTCTTTGTAGATTCTGGATATTAGCCCTTTGTCTGAAGGATAGATTGCAAAAATTTTCTCCCATTCTGTAGGTTGGCTGTTCACTCTGATGACAGTTTCTTTAGCTGTGCAGAAGCTCTTTAGTTTAATTAGATCCCATTTGTCTGTTTTGACTTTTGTTGCCATTGCTTTTGGTGCTTTAGTCATGACGTGTTTGCCAATCAAATCAGAACTCAGGATTAAGAAATTCACTCAAAACCACACAACTACATAGAGACTGAACAACCTGCTTCTGAATGACTACTAGATAAATAAATTAAGGCAGAAATAAAGATGTTCTTTGAAACCAATGATAATAAAGACACAATATATCAGAATCTCTGAGACACATTTAAAGCATTGTGTAGAGGGAAATTTATAGCACTAAACCCCACAAGAAAAAGCAGCAAAGATCTAAAATCGACACCCTAACATCACAGTGAAAAGAACTAAAGAAGCAAGAGCAAACAAATTCAAAAGCTAGCAGAAGACAAGAAATAAGTAAGATGAGAGCAGAACTGAAGGAGATAGAGACATGAATTACCCTTCAAAAAAATCAGTGAATCCAGGAGCTCGTTTTTTGAAATGATTAACAAAATAGATAGGATCACTAGCCAGACTAATAAAGAATAAAGAGAGAAGAATCGAATAGATACAATAAAAATGATAAAGGATATACCGCTACTGATCCCAGAGAAATACAAACTACCATCAGATCATACTATAAACACCACTATACAAATAAACTAGAAAATCTAGAAGAAATGGATAAATTGCTGGGCATATACACCCTCCCAAGACTAAACCAGGAAGAAGTCGAGTCCTGAATAGACCAATAACAAGTTCTGAAATTGAGGCAGTAATAGCCTACCAACTAAAAAAGCCCAGGATCAGATGGATTCACAGCTGAATTCTACCAGAGATACAAAGAGGAGCTAGTACCATTCCTTCTGAAATGATTCCAAACAATAGAAAAAGAAGGACTCCTCCTTAACTCATTTTATGGGGCCATGATCATCCTGATACCAAAACCTGGCAGAGGCACAACAAAAAAAGAAAATTTCAGGCCAATACCCCTGATGAACATTGATGCAAAAATCCTCAACAAAATACTGGCAAACAGAATCCAGCTGCACATCAAAAAGCTTATTCACCACAATCAAGCCGGATTCATCCCTGGGATGCAAGGCTGGTTCAAATCAATAAACGTAATCCATCACATAAACAAAACCAATGACAAAAAAACACACACACAATTATCTCAATAGATGCAGAAAAGGCCTTTGATAAAATTCAACACCCCTTCATGCTAAAAACTTGTAAGAGCTATTTATGATAAACCCATAGCCAATATCATAGTGAATGGGCAAAAACTGGAAGCATTCCCTTTGAAAATCGGCACAAGGCAGGATACTGTCTCTCAGCACTCCTATTCAACACAGAATTGGAAGTTCTGGCCAGGGCAATCAGGCAAGAGAAGGAAATAAAGGGTATTCGAGTAGGAAGAGAGAAAGTCAAATTGTCTCTGTTTGCAGGTTATATAATTGTATATTTAGAAAACCCCATAGTTTCAGCCCAAAATCTCCTTAAGCTGATAAGCAACTTCAGTAAAGTCTTAGGATACAAAATTAATGTGCAAAAATCACAAGCATTCCTATATAGCAATAACACACAGAGAGCCAAATCAAGAACGAACTGCCATTCACAACTGCTACAAAGAGAATAAAATACCTAGGAATACAACTTACAAGGGATGTGAAGGACCTCTTAAAAGAAAACTACAAACCACTGCTCAAGGAAATAAGAGGACACAAACAAATGGAAAAACATTCCATGCTCATGGATAGGAAGAATCAGTATTGTGAAAATGGCCATATTGCCCAAAGTAATTTATAGATTCAATGCTATCCCCATCAAGCTACAATTCACTTTCTTCACAGAATTGGAAAGAGCCACTTTAAATTTCATATGGAACCAAAAAGAGCCCACATAGCTAAGACAATCTTAAGCAAAAGGAACAAAGTTGGAGGCATCACCCTACCTGACTTCAAACTATACTACAAGGCTACAGTTAAAAAAACAAAACAAAACAAAAAAACAAAAAAACCAGCATGGTACACAAGGCTATAGTGACAAAAACAGGATGGTACTGGTATCAAAACAGATTTATAGACCAATGGAACAGAACAGAGTCCTCAGAAATAACACCACACATTTACAACCATCGGATCTTTGACAAACCTGACAAAAACAAGCAATGGGTAAAGGATTCCCTATTTAATAAATGGTGTTGGGAAAACTGGCTAGCTATATGCAGAAAGCTGAAACTGGATCCCCTCCTTATGCCTTATACAAAAATTAACTCAAGATTGATTAAAGACTTATGCATAAGACCTAAAACCATAAAACCCCCGGAAAACCTAGTCAATACTCATTCTACCAATTTTAAGGGAATGTCTTGATGTCTAATTAAGTAATGAGAAAGAATTTTCAGTACATAAGTGAAAAAATATAAGCATAAGTTCTTAAGTATAATTGTTTCAATTCTCTGTGTTCTGCAGAGAGCTACACATTATCATAAATGTCATGTCAATTAGTCTTTTTTATGAAGGCCTTGATTGCAGCAGACTTACAGAGCCCCAGGTAGCCTTAAAAGAGATTGTTGGCAAAAATTGTCTGGGAAGAAAAGTTAGGATTCTTTTTACAAAGATGTCTTCTGAGACATCTTTTGGGGATCTCTGGATAACTTTTTTGTTTTTTTCCATAAAATGGATAGCAAGAGTAAATTTCTGGGGATACTGATATACCTTGAAACAGAAATGATAGTTGTGTCTCCTGGGCATTTGGTTAGTCTAGTGAGTGTGGAACGGCTGGTACCTTCTTTTGTGCCATTAGACCTTTCCCATTGCCTCCAGGACTACATCCCACCTGAAGTAGGCTGGCAGTAACTAGATTATGTTTTCTGAGTATTAGAACTAAGGCTTTCTAACAATGGGGATGAATTCTTTGTTCAGCACACAGAAAACCCAAAACAAAAATGTACCAGCTAGGTTTGTTTGCTGTGTTGAAATAGAAAAACTGAAGTGTTTTACTGCAAATATATAGGAATCAAATTAAATACTTTTATGAAATAATAATGAATCTTTTTCCCCACTCAGGGTACTCAAAAGCTCACCCAGCCTCAACTTGAAAATGATTCATATGCTAAGGAAAAACCATTCAAATCCACTCCGAAATTTCCTATCAACTTTTTAAGTTCAAGTAAGAATTATTTCATTTGTAAAACATTTGATTCAACTAGTGTGTCTCCTGTTTTTCATGTTATTTAACATTAATATTTAATATAAGTAAATTAATATTTAACATAAGATTTTTAAAAACAATCCAATATTTCAAATATTTTGGTAAAAATTAAAGCATATAAATATGATTATCTGATATATAAACTTTAAAAATTTTTTGAGTTAATGCTACGGGGAAATCAATAAGGAGATTTCATACAGACTCAAGCAGTTTGAATTTTTGGAAACACTATTATAAGTAGATATATGTGGTGATAGGGACAACAAAGAACTTTCACAGTAGAGAAAATGGGGTCTTTTAAGTATTTCTCCCCCATTTTATCTTAGGAACAGACTCTATTAAAAATACTTCCCTAATTGAATCAGCTGCTGCATTCTCTTCTCAACCATCACAAAAATGCTTGCTGGAGAAAATTGATGTTATAACCGGAGAGGAAACAGAACATAATGTGTTAAAGGTCTGTATATCATGTTTTACTCTTTCTGGTAGTATTTACATATTTGGAATAAAGCTACTATCAGAAAAGACATCTTTAAAAACACAGACAGAAGTATAGTCTTCATGGGGATTAAGTTACTTAAATAAAAATGTTGGATGCACCCAAAAATTAAATCAATACTTTATTATCTTCTTGTGTTTGTATGTGTACATTGCAGGAAAATTGGTTGTTAAGTTTACGCTTATTCACATTAGTCCCTTAGAAATAAGATAGCCAAGGATACTGCTTTAATACTTGCTTTTGTAATCAGTACTATTATACTGATTACGTAATTCTACTTACACAGAGGTTTAACAATGTTGATAACTTGATTTTAGTCCAGTAAGAATTTTGTTTTCCTTCTAAAAAAGTTTAGAATTTCATATGAAATTTAGCTTCCTTTTAAAAAAAGTTTAGAATTTCATGTAATTCAAGAATCTCACAGATATACACTACAGTATCATAGGTAGGATTTTAATCCTACTATGCACAAGCACATGAAATGCAATTACTACAAATTTACCCTTTTCCAACAAGGCAGAAATTTCTCTTTGCTTTTCTCCATCTGCTTTTCTTCAAACTCTCTCCATTCCTTTTACTTCCTCTATGATCTACAGACACTTTTAAGTGTGTCTTAAAGCATAACTCTTAGATTAGATTAATTCCAGTATTATTGAAGTAATTGCTAGGGATGAGGCTCTGACCTGCTCTATTTTTAACAGGCTGTCTAGGTGATTCTTGTACACAGTAGTAATGATTGTAGTAGGGTAGCCTGTGGTATCATATCCTACTTTTCCACATTATCATGCTATCTTTGAAAATTTTGAAGCATGCAAATGGTTCAATGATTCCTTTACTTTCAAATAACATTATATAGCTCAAATAATATTAATATAAAAGTTTATGTATATATATATAGACATAGTGTTAAAAAAACCAGAAAGTATGTATGGCAGTCTACCATTGACAGAAAAAAAGGGGGAACATTTATATGTATTGGCATGTATATACATACAAATATCTCTGGAAGGATAAACAAAATATTTATACCAGTGATTAATTGTTGCAGGGGTGGAAATTGGTAGATGGGAAATAAAAGCTGGGGGCCCTTTTCCCTTTGTATGTCTTTTTACTTTTTGATGTTTGAACTATCCAAAAATTATATGTTTCTAAATGTTAAATATATTTTAAAAGCTGCTTTATAAATCGTTAAAAAGGATCATTCCAGTAAAAGATCAGACACATATAAATGTGTCATAACATAGGAAATAACTTACTTTGAAAAAAATTCCTATATTTGATATTTAAAAAAAATTGTCATTTAGATCAACTGCAAGCTTTTCATATTCAACAAAACAACACAATCCTGGATTGAAAGGGGCAGAGGAACGTTGAGACTGAATGACACAGCAAGCAGTAACTGTGGAACATTACAGTCAAGACTAAGTAAGGAATCCTTTTGTAAAGCAAGCTATGATTTCTCATGTGTACCTATAATGATATAGGTACACATCATCTTCTGGAGTTGTGCTATAAAACACACCAAAACATCAGACTGTTGAAAATATTTCTATAGGAGTTTTCCATTTCAAGCAGGCTCTTCTGTTAGACTGCATGGGCTCCAGTTCTGGCTCCAGCAGTGACTAACTAGTGACCTTGACAAGTTTCTCAATCTCTCTCTGTATTCTACTTACATCGATTTAAAATGGGAATAACTGTAGTTCATGACTTACTGAGTGACCAAGAGAATTTAATGAGATAAAGCATGTAAAGCACCTATATCAGAGCCCAGCACACACCTAAAAAGTAATTTTACTATGATTTGAAAGAATATGATGCAAATTATTTTGTAAAGTGAAAAGTTTTTCTAAAAGAAAATACTTGTCCCATAATTTGTCCTTGGTATCCCACACATGGCGTGGGGGTCAGGATGAAGGATTAGTCTCTAAGGAAAGAGATTAGTTTCTAAATTGCAGTTATTGAATCCTGCAGGCACGGTGATTTTCAGAAGCTGGAGCCAGTCAAACTGAAAGATACAAAAGAGCTGGCATTCAAAAAGACACAATGGGCATTGTTCATAAGTACAAACTGAAAGAGAGCACAGGGAGAGATCTGGCCAGGATGAATGGATTCATTGGTCAATTTTGAGAGGTCAAGACTTTGGAAGAAACCACAGGTAGCTGTTGGATCCAAGAATAAGGTTCTTTGTTGAGTTTTGGATATTAAGCTCAAGAAATAGGTAGAAATACAATTCAGATTAAAAAGATAGAAACAGAATCTTCAGTTCTGTAACTGGCACATAGGTTTCTAAATAACCCAACCAAGTAATAGTCCCAAGGCAGGTGCAAGTTATTTACTACTCTGCTTTGATTCCACTGCCTGGCAAAAGAAAAAAAAAATACCCCCAAACAAAAATAAAAAACAAGAAATCCCAAAAGAAGCTTTCTTTTTATTATACAGATAATATACATTCATTGTAAAAAGCAGAAAGTATGGATTGGAAAAATTTTTTAAAATCACTTAAAGGCCTATCTTCCTAACATCTGCTAACAGAATATGTTTTTCTGACCTTTGTTTTCTGTATATAAATGTATACATAGACCATAGAATTTATGATTCATGGTGTTTATTTTGCTTTGTAGCTAATTTTTCTTTTACATATTACACTATGATTTTTCCACATCAATAAATATCTTTTTGCAGTATTCTTAATGGGTTCATAATATTCTCTTGAATGACTACACCATAATTTATTTAACTAGTTTCATTTTTTTGGACACTTAAGTTTTTTGTTCCAGTTTTCTTCACTGTAAACAATTCTCAGACAAATATTCTTCAGACCATCAGTTCTAAAAGGAGTTCTAAAATTTTAGCCACTTTTAAAAATATTACAGTAAAAAAGTATAATTTCAGTATTTAAGATAAAAAAGTTCTCCCAACATATTAAAGTCCAATTTGAAAACCAAGTTATAATCCAGTCAAATCACAAGTTAGTATTGAATCTACAGTCTGAAAAACAACTACAAAATTTATTTTGCTGCATTTTGAAAATGGTATATTCCTCTGTGAGGCATCAAGTGTTCTGTAGCCTGATGTAGTCACCTTCCTATTTTAGTTATGCGCAATCAAGGCAGTCTAAGGCTGATCCTCAATAGCAAACTCTGGGCCCAAATGAAGATTCAAAGAGCAAACCACAAAAATGTACGAATAACAGCTACTGATTTAGAAGACTATACCATCAAAGTATTTTTAATTCAGGTAAGTGAGAAATTTCAGTGACAGAGGATTATCCTACTAAATTAATAGATGTCTGTGGTACTAATTTGTTTTTTCATTTTGTTATAATGGTATATTGGATGAGAGCCATTCATTATGTCTGTTTATAGTATAAGAGCTAAATTTTATGTGAAATTCAGAAATTAACACCAAAGTCTATGCAATCAATTGGTACTCATTCAAAGATATTGGTGTGATATATGCCATCAAATCTCTACACTTTACTATCGAAATTTTGTGAACAATCTTACTATGTTACCAAAGTGGCTATTGTCAGGAATGGTTCCCAGGAAGAGGTGAGCAGACTCTGAAGCCTAATGCTTATCCTGCAAGCGGAGACTGAAAAAACTTTGGGCCACTGGAAAAGAACCGATGAGAAATGGAAAAACACAGAGCTAGCAAGTTAAAAAAAAACAGTCCAATAGCAAATTCCAATTCTGGACATGAGTAAATCTCCAAGGTAACAGGATGGGAGCACAGTTTTAGCTGTTCCTGGCAGATGAATACTTGACCTTAAACACAAGATCCAGATCCAAGAGCTGGCAAGAATAAATCGAAGAAAAAAACAAAACAAAACCCAGAAACAAAACCACAAACCCCTCCCTGGCAAAATTGGATTTGCCCATGGGCTGACTGGAGAAGACTTATTACCCAAGTGACTCATGCAGAAGGTGACAATACAAATAAACTGGCTTCTATGTAGTAACGTGGAAAAAAAGCTGGCAGGTGCCCATGATGAAAAACGAAAGTTTATTAGCTACCATTAAGTGTATTATTAGCTGTAAGTGATACTGAGTATTAAAATGTTCAGGTAAGATGATGTACAAACCCCATTTACTACTTAAGGTATTAATATCTTGCCAGTCTTCTGGGCCAGATCCCCCCTTGGTTTTGGGTGGGTAAAGTAGCATGCCAGAGACTGAGCCTGTTAACCATGACTAGATTCCATCCTCAGAGATAGTGACTATTAACATTTTGGTCTTATACTTTAGTACATACATGCATCTGTGTGCAGGTATATACATACATACATACATATATGTAACATCATGTCCATACTGTATAACCTTCGGGCAAGCTACTTAGCCTTCTTTAAACTGATTTTATTCATCTGCGAAACAATGATGGTAACAAAAGTACACTTTAGAAAGGCTGCTGAGATTAAATAGTTAATATGATTGTGAAACACACATTATGCTATTTTACTTATCAATGTTAATGAGTGTCTTCATGACATTATTCTTCACAAAGTGTTTTAGTAGGTGAAAGAATTCTATTACGGACCATAATTTATTCCATTAATCCCACTGACGATGATAAAACCTGGGATTCAACTTTCAGCCAATTTGCTGACTAGCAACTCAGACAAGTTATTTTACCTTTCTGAGCCATAATTTCCTCATTCATAAAGGGATGAGGGAAACAAGCATATCTTGAATACTTGTGCTGCCTATATATTGCTGATATAAGTGAAATTAATAATGAACCCACAGTTTGACTATAAGAATTGAAAAAAGAATATAAACAGTAAATTTTATACCAACTTTACTGTTACCTTTATTTTTATATTTTAATATGAATAACAACCATTAAAACAGCATATAAAAGTATTAAAAAGCAAGAACTTCTGATGTATTGATGGTACAATGCCATAGACTGCTCTAATGAGCTCAGCATATCCAAAAAGCTATGTAGTTTGGAAGAATGTCCAAGCAAAGTGATGGACAGGAAATGGAAGTATTTTTTTCTGCAAGCCTACAATTTTCTATAGCGTAAAATAGTGGAGGAGGGATGGTCTTAACAAGTTTACATTCAAATAGAAATTTTATATAACAAAAATTCACTTTCTCAATTTAAAATGTATGAATTGGGATTGCTTATAAAAGTATACATTTTAGGATGCAATTTGTTTCAAGATTGTCTTTTTACTGCTTAAATTTTAGGGTGTTAGCACCTATGTACATTGCAGATTTATGCCACATAATTCCTTTCTTATTAGTAGTGAAAGATTAAAAATCTGTAAAATGTAGCTAACATTACTTATTTTCTTAACAATTTAATGTTCCTCATGTAGGCCAGTGTCAAAGATATAGCATATTTGTATGCAGCAATACATCATCGTCTTGTTGCCCTTCAAAGCTTCAATAAGCAGAAAGACGTCAATCAAGCTGAAAGCCTGTCAGAAACAGTCCAACAATTGAACTGCGAAAGCTGTGATGAGAATGAGGATGATTTTATCAAAGTCACTAAAAACAGATTAGGTAAATAGCTTTTGTTTTGTTAGGTCAAAGGTTTAAAAAAGAATTTTAAGCATGATCCTAATATATTAGGTAGATTTTTAAACAAGCGGAACTGCTCCGTTTAAAGTGGGTGATGGCTAGAGCCCTGGCTGTTTGGATCTGAGGAGTGGGTTTGAAAATAACTGTCTTCTATAGGTAGTGCTCATTTTATCAAGTCAGCCTCATGGTGATGCCCGTATGTCATTTGCCTATAAATTCCATAAAAGACTATTATGTTGCTACCCTGAAACTAACCCTTCATTTATATTTATCTTCATTTATTCTCATTCCATTATTGGCTATAATAGGAAGAATTATAAATACATACAATGGGTCCACCTGGTAAATTTGGCTTGATACCCTGAAAATCTTGTTTATTCCCTTTTTAGAATTTGACTGCTTATAAGAATATCTAGATTGTACAAATACGATTTTCAAGGACCTATTTTGTCTAGGACAAAAAAGTACTATTTCTTTTATTATTTACAAATAAAGTAAGGTTGAAGTGGAACCAGTGTAAACAGATTGTCAGCTTTTACTGCTTAACTTGATATGTGAAAACAATGTCAAAAATAGTAAGCTCCACTTTGTTATATAGATGTAGTTATTCCAATAAAGTCATCTAAATGTTTTCACTAACAGTTTCACTTAGTCCTGAATTCTGTGCTACAGAGGACTGAATAATACAATTACAATGATAGTGTGGTAACAAGCATTTTTTCAACTCTTAATCATTTTGCAATATTAAAGCTGCTTTAATCATACATAATTTTAAGAATCTATCAAAGAACATGCATAACTGAATGAAATATCTTCCTTTGCTTAATACTAAAGCTATAATCAAAAGGAAAAATACACAAAACATCCAGAACAGTATAATCAAAAGGAAAAATACACAAAACATCCAGAACCTGCTTTACCCAGTGATTCAGAGAACTAAGTGAATATAATTTTCTTGCTACTTTAAGCAAATTATGTTAAATGAACAGTTTATTAGTCTTTAAACATATAAAATGAATAAAATTGTCTTTTACTTTATAATAATGGTTACATTGCCAATAACAAAATGAGGTCTATCAGAGAATTAGTTGGTACACATTAATAATGTCAATTTAAAATAAGAATTAAAGAGCAAATTCTCTTATGAACCAATGACACGTGCTTATGATATCTATATTTTGTTATATTTCATTTTAGGAAAGGGGTGCTGTGTAACTATCTTAATAAAGAACAATGAAAATAATGCAAAGCAAATGTCAATCATATGAACCCCCTTTCCCCTGACATTTTTTCCCCTTTTCACTTAGTATCTTCTCCAGGAGGCATTAAAAACAAATGGTAAAATGTTATGGAAGCAATAAAACACATTTTTTGGACTTCGTTGCCTATAAATTCTCTAAAAGAGTCATGATTAAAATTTTACCAACATCTCTACATGTTACTTGTAAAAATGTATATTCTGTAGCTTTTATTTCCTCACCAATGAGTATATTCATGAATATTAATGTTTAGTTGCATTTTCAACATTAAATCTAGTCCAAATATAATACTGTATAATAAAACATTTTAAATTTATATCACAGATCCTTCTAGGTGGACTCACAGTCGGTTGCCTGTTCATGAATACTACCTACTATAAATATGACATCTACAAAGAGGGGTCACCCTACTAAAAATACTAAACCACCCTAACGAATCAGATTCTATTCATTCCTTGAAGAGTTTTTACAGAAAACCTTAAGAAATGTAATTTGTTGCAATTAACATTTTTCTCTTATGTTTTACATTTTACATTTTGATTGTTATGCAGAAACTGACAGAATTTTAAAAAATTAATGGACTTCAGAAGTTCAAAATTTATCATTTTTGAAGAAGTTAGAGTAGGATTTTATAAACTAATTTGGACTTTTCATCACATTGGTAGATATAATAGTTGGAATTATAAATTGCTAGATTTGATAAATATCTAACAAAATGTTTATTTTTTTTCAGTCACACATTGGCCATAAAACAAATACTTTACTAAATTTCCAGAGTAATTTCTTTGAAAAATAATATAATTGCATGATAACATTTCACTAAATCCTATTTACCTTCAGGGAAATGTGTATTTTAATTTAGATTTTGGATTTTCTAATATGATAAGCTTATATATTCATGGTATGAATTCCCTTAAAAAGAGCATCTGCTCTTGGACTTGTATCTGTTGCATCTTGTAAATGCTTGACTCACGGTCAGCATCCAATAGTTGTTAAATGAATAAATAAAATATAATACATTACTTATGTATCAAAAAGCCATTTTATACTTATGTATAAAAATGCCAAAATGTTAACTTGTTCTACTTTGTTTTATGTAATTGTATTTTCATTAATATTTTAGTAGGTGTGGCTGTATATAGAGAAAAACAAACGCATCATATATAGCCAAATGAATCTTTTTCTCAGTTGCTATTATTATAGTAGGCTACAGTAATTTCAACAATTTTGCAAGAGTTTTGATGCTCTTCTTTGAGATTTGTTTCAGAGACACTTCATGAATCACATAAGAAAATCAGTCTCAGTACTTATAGCCCTATTTCATTTTTCAATCTAGTTTTATAACACCACGGCTTCAATGAGACTTTTGATTGTGACCCCTAAACAATTCTCTGATTAGGGGATAAAAACTCCTAATTCTAAAATGTTTCTGAAAATGTTCTCAACAATGATGACATATTTGGAATAAGGGTACAATTTCACTAAGTGCTATTTCAAAGAATATTCATTTGGATATATGAATATACATTTTTAAAAGATATATTACTGTATTACTATACCTGTTATAAAATAATAAAGATATAAGTATTTAAGTGAAATCTCAGCTAGTGCCTGAAAATTTAGTATAGCATATGAAAGTTGAATTAACTCTTTTAGATTATAATTTAGTCAGTATGCTAATTGTTCAACATTTTGCTCCTTCCTTGTAACTGAGAAGGTGTAACTTAGTATAAGTTAATTACTAGAGGCCCATTCATGCTTCCAGTGATTCTAGGAGAAATATGGCACATAATATCCCTTACTTCTAAATAAAGGAGTCAATGACCCAGGAAATAAAGAGAAAAAAACTTAATGTGAGATGAAGAACAGATAGAAAGAGGGCAAAAAAGAGCTTTAGTATGAAAGGAAGGACAAAAAGAATGGACAACAGAAATTCCCTTTTTTAAAATCCAGAAGAGTGACTCTGATGCAGAACACACTCAGTGGAAAATTTTCATTAGAAACATAACACAGAGAGACATTTGGAGAAGATAATAAAGTACTGGTTCTCTTTTATTATAAGATCTTAGCTGATGTGGGAACATTATGATTGCACTATAAATTGCTAAAGAAGAGAACAAATAACTTTTTTTGTTCTTTCTTTTTTTCATTTTTTTAGAGTCTCGCTTTGTCACCCAGGTTGGAGTGCAGTGGCACAATCTTGGCTCACTTCAACCTCTGCCTCCTGAGTTCAAGGGATTCTCCTGCCTCACTCAGCCTCCTGAGTAGCTGGGATTACAGGCACCCACCATCAAAGCCCAGCTAATTTTTATATTTTTAGTAGAGATGGGGTTTCACCATGTTGGCCAGGCTGAAAACTCCTGGCTTCCCAGCCTGGCCAACATGGNTGTTTATATCCTTTTCCTTTCTTTCCTTTCTTTCTTTCTGTCTTTCTGTCTTTCTGTCTTTCTTTCTCTCTTTCTCTCTTTTCTTTCTTGAAGCAGAGTCTTGCTCTGTTACCCAGGCTGGAGTGCAATGGCATGATCTCAACTCACTGCAACCTCCACCTCCCAGGTTCAAGCAATTCTTGTGCCTCAGCCTCCCGAGTAGCTGGGATTACAGGCACCCACCATCAAACCCCAGCTAATTTTTTATTTTTAGTAGAGACAGGGTTTCACCATGCTGACCGGGCTGGTCTTGAACTCTTGATCTCAAGTGATCCACTTGCCATGGCCTCCCTAAAGTTCTGGGATTACAGGTGTGAACCACTGTACCTGATCATCTTTATCCTTTTGACATGTTCCTTGTCCCCACACTAAGGTGGAGATAAAACAATATCTTCTCAATGCTTGAAACATTTTTAAGTTGAATTCATTCTATGATTTTCTTTAGATTTCTCGGCATATATCAATGAAAAAAATTCACATTCACTACCTTAGTTTCTGATCTATAAAGAAATGCCAGTGCAACAAAATCAAATGTAGGGTTAGAAAATCAGGAAAGCAAAGAGAGAAGTGAAAATTCCCAGATTATGAAATGGAAAGGAACAGAAACAAAATTGAAACTCACAACTCTTTCAACCATTTTCTATAAACTTTGTTATTCTTTCAATTCTTTTGCAAATATTTAGTACGATTTTGGAGGAATAGTAGAAATAGAAACATTTTATAGTTTTTCTTTGTCCTGTATCTTCATCTAGCCTTCTTCTTTTTAGCTTTCCTGTATCCTTTGTTCCCCTTTTATGATGAGAGATTAGTTGTACAATAACATCCATCACAAGTTATTTAGGTGTATTTCAAAGTATACATTTTGTATTTCCAAAGCAGCTGTTTTTAATGAAAATTTACTTAACTAATTTATATGTCATTATATATCTTTTGTTAAGACAATCTAAATGTTCTTCTCTTTTAATAATATTTTACCCAACTGTTTACCCTAATTATAGACAATTTAAATGTTCTCTCTTAAAAAAATACTATTTTCCATCTGCCAAAGCAAGGAACCCACTGTCGCCAGGAGAATACATCCTATACAGCAGTGGTAACCAACTTTTTTGGCATCAGGGACTGGTTTCGTGGAAGATAATTTTTCCAAAGACTAGGCGGTGGATGGGGATGGTTTTGGGATGAAGCTGTTCCACTTCTGATCATCAACCATCAGAGTCTCATATGGAGTGTGCAACCTAGGTGCCTCACATGAGCAGTTCACAGTAGGGTTTGCATCTTATGAGAATCTAATGCTGCCTCTGATCTGACAAAAGGCAGAGCTCAGGTAGTAATGAGAGTTATAGGAAGCTGCTGTAAATATAGATGAAGCTTCACTTCCTTGTCCACCACTCACCTCCTGCTGTGTGGCCCTGTTCCTAACAGGTCACGGACTGATACTGATCCACAGCTCGGGGGTTGGGGACCCCTGCTATACAGGTCTTAGAGTATTTGAATGTCATAAAAAGAGAGATATATATCTTTTATAGCGTCAGAACGTACATGAAGTGTGGGTGGGAAGGGTTCTAGGAGTTGGGAAGGATATATTTTAAGACCTCTGTATATCTTCAAATTGTGTGTATCAGTGACATATATAATTTTCCCCATAAAATGTTGAGAACAGTTAGGCTTGCTTGAGATGTGGCTATTAAATCATGGTCGGTTAGGCTCATTTACTAGAAAAGCATACTGGCCTCACCATGGATGGAGTTTGAGTTTAAAACTCAATAACATTACAGATTTTTTTGGTTGTTTGAGAATAGTTGAAGCTGATATTAAATCCATGAATGCCAGAAGTTCTGTTTTTTTATAATGATCAGATTATACCCATAGTACTGGTTAATTTTTGACATCATACTTGGAGTTGACAAATGAATACATGAACATATCTGAAACTTCGAAGATGATATTTAGGCCAGGTGCAGTGGCTCACATCTGTAATCCCTACACTTTGGGAGGCTGAGGTGGGCGGGCTGCCTGAGCCCAGGAGTTCAGGACCAGCCTGGGCAACATTGCATAAAACTCCATCTCTACAAAAATTACAAAAAGTTAGCAGGGCAAGGTGCCATGCATCTGTAGTCCCAACTACCTGGGAGGCTGAGGTAGGAGGATCGCCTGAACCTGGGCGGTTGCAGCTGCATGAGCCGTGCAGTGCAGTACCCTTTCTCAAAAAAAAAAAAAAGAAAGAAAGAAAGAAAAAATATATATATTTGCAAGCTACGCCACTGGAAGGAAGAATTACTGAAATGATTAGCCAATGTTTGGCCTAATGAAGACTTGATGATATGGATAACAGTTTTCTAATAATTAGAGTATTACCAAGATTTCTTAATTTCTACTAACCAATCTAGTAGATATAAAATATTATTTCACAATGACATTATTTGTATTTCTCTAATTTCTAATAAGGTTATCTTTTCAAGTATGTATTCACTGTTTGTGTTTCTTCTAAAAAATTCCTGCTCACAATTTTTGCAAAGCTAATCGTGTCATTTTCTCCTTTTGGTTGTTTCCTAATACGTGCAAGATAAAAGACAAGTCCTAAGCATGGATTTTTCACACTTTTTATTGTCTTTACCCTTGTCTACCTTTCTAGCCTCACTTCCCAGTGTTGCCTGCCTCTCTCTAAATTCTCTAAAAATTAAAAATTGCTATTTCATTGCTTCTATGCATCTGCTCATGGTGTTTCTTCTGTGGAATTTCCTTCTCATTCTTGCTGATAATGGGTAATATTTTATTCATTCTTTAGGGTTTAACTCTTCACATTTCCAGAAAGCCTTCTCTAACTCTTCTTAGGCTGACTTAAGACCTGCTCCCCCAAATTTCTGTAGCATTCTCTGTATAACTCTATCACTGCAAAGACTTTGGGCTTCTCAAGGGCAGGGACTCTTTTTATCATTTAATCTTTAGCACCTGGCAGGACGTCTGACCTATAGCGACACTCAAATATAATTTAATCTCCACTAATGTGTGTTATAGGGTAAGATTTAAGAGACATTATCTAACAAGAAACTAGATAAGGATTGGAAACTCAGGAGAAAATCTGGGCTAAAGATTCCAGTAATAGCTGAAGTCAGGAAAGGGGCAAATATTTGCTAAGTGTTTACTTTGTAATGGGCAGAGTGCTAGGCATCTGTGCATATATTCACAATTTTACAATGTAGCCATTATATTTTATAAATGCAGAAGCAGGCTCCGGAAGGTTAAACAACCGGTTCCACTTTCACAAAGCTACTAAACATTACAACTGGGATTTGAACCAAGATCCTTCCATTACACAACACTGAATGAACTCACCCAGGAATGTGTGTGAGAGAGAAAAGAAGAAAGAAGAGGGAGAGAAAAGACAAGGAGATGAGGACAGAAGACATCTTGGAGATGGGTTTAGGAATAAGTCAAAAAGGGACAGAGAGATGGGAGAAACACTGTTAGGGACTGGTGTGTTGGGAGATAGTAAAAGATTTCAAGAAGAAATGATAACCATTTCAAATGCTTGAGAAAGATCAAGCAATTTAAGGACTCAAAAAAGTCTTTTGAGTTCCAACAAGATCATTTAGTAACCTTGGAAACAGTAGTAATTAGCAAAGTAGTGGAGAGAAGCCAGTGTACAACAGGTTGCGGAATGACTAGGAGGCAGGGACGTGGCAATGATGAACAGACTACACTTTCAGAAATCAGTTGTAAAGGTAAGGCAGGCAATATGTAAAAACCAGGTTTAGAAGTTGCTTTGGTTTTTAGAAAAGCTTTAAAGGTGTCATAGACATGAGCATATTTAAATACTGAAGAGGAAAACTCAGTTGAAAGGGAAAATTCAAGATACCTGCGAGGGGATGACTTCAGGAAGCAATATTTTTGAGGTGGTGGAAGACGAGATGCAAATAACTATGGACAAAGGGCTATTCCAACTGAGATGTCAATGCATATGTCTGTAGCTGAAATGAGACAGAGCTAGAAATTTGAATTTTTATCTGTGAAGTGGGAATAAATGAGGTCTGAGATTTCAAATATGAGCAACAAAACTCATAGACTTTGATCCCAAACAGTTCCTCCCTACTCATTTTTTTTCTGTCAAATGGATCAATTAACATTCCCCTATGCACCCTAGCCTCAAACCTAAGTGTCATCTATGATTTTTCCCTTTTCTTCCTTCGTAATATCTAATGAAGTTTAAAATAGTAAGACGACAAAGGAGTCTGAGGATAGTTATAGATGTTACCTCTCTAAAAGTTTCTGAGGTTATTCAGGTTGTGACACTACACATCGCCATTAGCAGCTGCTGTGAGGCAAAGCTCTTGGTCAGAACGGGTCAGTGGCAGAACTTTACCAAGTCAACACCTATCGGGCTTCATGCTCCCAGTCCAATACGCTACCTGGTACGTGGCAGGCACACAGCGGGAACCCACGAATGAACGCTGGTGTTGGTGTCCCCCTGAGGAGAGTCACAGATTCACTGAATCGATTTGGACTTGGTAGAACCTTGGGGTCACTCGAACCCCCTTTTTACAGAGGAGGAATCTGACGCCCAAAAAGATGAGGTAACCTGCCCAAAGTCCAGAAGCAAGTTAGCGCTAGAACTACAAAGGAGCAAACACGGTACCAGGGAAATGGATCTAAGGAGCTGCAGGAACTGAACACCTGGATGTACACTGCCATTTGATTCTCCCCTTATAATGGGATGTTTCCTTCTGTTCTCATCACACCCCAGCGCGGGTCCTGAGCACTCCGCGAGTCATTATCCCGACAGCCTCCCAATCTACAAAACATTCCAAAGCCAGATCAATAGTCACCAAACATTGTTTTAACTCACTCCTTCCCCGTTAAAAGCCTTCAAAAAACTAACTCCTACCTATAGGACAAAGTCCAAATGACTGTTTTTTTTTTTGAGACGGAGTCTCACTCTGTCGCCCAGGCTGGAGTGCAGTGGTGCGATTTTGGCTCACTGCAACCTGCGCCTCCCGAGTTCAAGTAATTCTTTGCCTCGGCCTCCCGAGTAACTGGGATAACAGGTGCCCGCCAGCACGCCTGTATAATTTTTATATTTTTAGTAGACACAGGGTTTCACCATCTTGGCCAGGCTGGTTTTGAACTCCTGACCTCGTGATCCACGCGCCTCGGCCTCTCAAAGTGCTGGGATTAGAGACGTGAGCCACCGCACCTGGCCTCAAATGACTAACATTCTTAACACCGTGCTCCTGTCCTGCCTAGTTTCAACCGTCTCTCCCTATGGTGAAATGCTGCACCCGGCCAGGCTCCTCTACCCATCACCCTCCAAGTTCCTTAGGGCTTTTCGGGGGGGGGGCAGCGGGGCTGGTACTGGGTCCCACGCAGAGAGGATTTTGTGCCAGGCTGCGCACACGGTGCAGCAGGTGCCGGGTCCGCCTCCTCAGCCCCCAGCCCGGCCCCGGACACACCAGCTATCACCCTGGCCCTGGTCAAATGAACCAACAGACACGTGGTCGTCCTGCAAACCAGAACCCGAGCGAGGAGGCACTCGGAGACTACCTTCCAGACAGCCGCTCAAAACCCCACCAGCAGTCCCCGCGCCGACTCAGGCCGGCTTCCAGATGAAGTCCTCAGGGCGGCGCCACAGTCAAACAGAATTCCACCCCTTCCTCAGGCCGCAGCCAATGGCGCGGCCCCTCAGGCTCCGGAGCCGCCGAGGGCTCTGATTGGCCGATAGAATTAGCCTGGAGGCGGGAAAAGAGCGACCGCTGGGAGGCGGGTGGAGCCGGGAGGTCGCCCCCGGGCGGCGAAGCGGCTGCCACGCAGCCGAGAGTGAAATGAATAAACAAGCAAAATCCACCAGCCCCAGGCCTCCATCTCTTCCCCGCCCACCTTTCCCCCGCGTGGGGTAGGCCGCTTCCCAATCGCCACGCTTTCTCCGCCTCCGTCAACGTCTGGGTACGTCCCTCTCGCGGCGGGGGCCACGCACGTCCCGGCACTTAACCTCTGCCCGCCCGGCGCGAAGTTAGAGGTCCGGGCAGCGCGGGCTGCGCGCACTCCCGGTGGTGGGGAGCGGAGGGAAGGAGCTCGAGCCCGGGGCCGCGGCTCGGCCCATGATGACTTGCTATCGAGGCTTCCTGCTGGGCAGCTGTCGTCGCGTGGCGGGCGGCCGGGCGGCGGCGCTGCGGCGACCGAGCGCGGGAGGCCCCGCCGCGCGGCCCCGGCTGGGCGGTGACGGCAGCGGCCGGCGGCACCTGGGGCAGGGGCAGCCGCGCGAGCTGGCGGGCTGTGGCAGCCGCCCCGACGGCGGCTTCCGCCCCTCCCGGGTGGTGGTCGTGGCGAAAACCACTCGGTACGAGTTCGAGCAGCAGCGGTACCGTTACGCGGAGCTCTCGGAGGAGGACCTAAAGCAGCTGGTGGGTCCTAGCGCGGCCCTGCTTCGCTCCCGGGCTCGGCCGGGGCTCTAGGGGCGGCTGCGCCCCCGCGGGCTAGACCTCTCGGGACGGCTCTTCCCAGGGCACCGCAGATGCCCGTCCTGCCTTTCTCGCGGCCCCCAGGCCCTCTGGCTTCGCCCTGGGCTCCCTTAGCCTCTGGGCGTGCGTGCGAAGGAGATTCAGGTCGGGGAAGAGGGAGAGGGGCTGTGTTCCTGCAGGGACCTCTGAGGCAGGGGCGCCGCGGGGAGGGCGAAGAGGGGCTGCCTAGTGCCCCATAGAGTGAAGGGTTTGGGGATTCAATAGTGCCCTCGTCAACCCCGCCCTCGTTGCCTGGTTGGGACTCACCCCAAGAAAGTGAGCGGGTGACCTGAGGTTTGGACGCCCGGAGAGCAGCTCCCCAGGCCGCCCCGAGAAAGGGGGCCCGGGGCGTCGCTGAGGGCTGTAGGGGCAAAAGGGGCGAAATACTGAGGACACACCCCCTTTTACTCTGCAGAACTGCGAGGCCTTTAGAGAGGATCCGAAAAGCCCTTTAGCCTTGAGCCTTTTCCATACTGGAACGTGATCGTCGGTAGACACTGCCAGCTTGTTTTAAAAGCATGAAGTCTTGGGTGCTAAGAAGGGCAAGGGAGAAAATTTGACTTGTATATAGACGTTATGTAGGAGACATGTTAGGACAAGGGGCTGGTATACTGGGTAATGTATGAAATAAAAAGCCTGGGACTCCAGTGCAGCAATATCTCCACAATAGACCATATTTGATATATTGATTAATATATCTACAAAATACATAAACCCAAGAGAAAAACCCCTGAGTTTGAATCTTCCTGTTGTCACCGCCCCCCACTTTAAAAACAATTTGTGATCCCATATCCCCACCCACCAACTTTAGGAGGAGAGTGACCGGTGCTACCATGAGCAATATGTACAGAAAAATCTATTGGAAATCTCTTAATTGTTGGCATTGTGCACCAAAAGGTTTTGGAATTAGTTGCACATAACTAGTTTAATTCTGTGCAAGACTAGACAACCTGTTGAAAACCTCTGGTATCATGTGATCCTCAGCGAAGTTATTTTGTAGAGGCATCAAAATGAAATTGTAAATCATCTTTGCTTAAGTACTGAATCTGTTGTCAACAATTAAACATCCTGCTTCTTTGTTGGGTTTATTGAAGAGGGTCCTTGCATTCACCTAATGGGAGTCTAGATTTCTAAATTTGTTTTATTTTTCCTAAGCATTTGAAAAGGGCAGTTTATAGAATACTCTCGCATTATTTAAAGAAGAAAGAGTTTGAACGGGAGGTTAGAGTAGTTGAGTTTGTGTTAGGGAGTGAAGTTGGAGGTGAGGAAGGGAATGATAATGTCCTAAGAAAGTACAACGTTACTATTTGGGAAAAGCGGTGTGCCCTTTGGGTTGTACTAATTTTGCAAGGTCTCGCTTTTAGAATCTGTCAAATGCCATGTAGGCATAAATATGTATGCATAAATAAGCTTCCTACAACAATTAAAAATAGCTCACTTGGCATGTTTAGAATGTGGCATTAAGGTTGAAGAGCTCAGTTCTAGGCCCTGGTTCCTTGTGGTTAACTTCCGATGTGTGTTTAACTTCTCTGGGCCTCATAGGTGGAAATGATACTTTTTGTATAGTATTGCCAGTTTTCAAAGTGCTTTACCTAATTCAATATGTGAATTGCTGGGGCTGTACTAGATAGCCTCCAAGGTCCTTTATATTGCTGGTATTTTGAAACTGGGTAACGTTTTCAAGTCCTCAAGAAAATGGGTGGCATCTCAGGATTAACTCTTGGACCTCTGAACTAGATTGCCACTAATAAAAAACTTTTAAAATGTAGGGAAAATCATTAAGTCTTAAAAAGTCAAACTACCTAAGTGTACCCATTCTGAGTGGAGAAATCTCTGATAGGTAAATATTTGTCTATTGCTAGGTAATGCTGTTTGGGATGCGCTGGCTTTGAAGTAAAACTCCTGAACTGTAGAATACCCAGTTTTGTAATTGCCAGACAGTGGAATAGTTTTTATTGATGTTGTCATTACAGTTTTATTGGGTAAGTTCCTTACTGATTTAAATTTGTGTTATAATTTATATCAAGGTCAGTACTCAGAATGCAATAGCATTAGATGTAGCCCAGATGACAGATTAGTAACAGGCCAGAGAATACTGGGCTATGTGAAGTTTTCCTAAAATGGGATTCTGTAATAGGAGTGATAAGATGATAACTACTGTTTGTTATATTGTGGGGGTAAAAAATATTAAGTTATATGAATCATGTGAATCGGATATAAAAGAAAATGGCCAAGTGCTTTTTTGAGTCTCACCATGGCTGCCGTGTCTATAGTGTCATGGTAACTTGGTTTTTTGTCAAAGCATTCTCTTTTGTTGTGGTGGTGATGGTTTTTTGATGCAAAACAGGTCTGCATTAGGCTATCTGTTAAAATGCAAATGACAAAGGATGGAGTGCCAGTATAATTTTACACTCTGAAGGCCGATGATTTTCTAACTTTGTAGAAATGTAAACAGTTGCAGGAAATGTCTTTTAGTTGATAAGGCACACACAGAATAAGTTTACAACCTTCAAACTGGTTCAAAGTTTTGACTTTCATTTACCCTTTCATATTGGTTACATTGCTTTATTTTAAAATCTTATCTTTTTCCCCATTGATTGACCAATGGCTTGTTTTGTGATATCAGATTTCTAGTCAAACATTTTACCTCTACTGCCTCATGATCTTTCAAAGGCTAGTAAAACTAACATTACAATTTACTTGCATCATTAAGAGATGTAGCTGTTGGCAGATGTGGAACTGCTGTTATCAGGGTCCTTGACACAAATTAGAATCTAGATAGAACAAAACCTACTTGGAAAGGATTTTTACACCAAAAACATACCTCATTGGTCAAAGAAAGATTCTATTTAAAACTCTTTTTCACCTATCACCAGGGATGGGGAACTGAATAAGGGGGAACCAAGAAAAAAGTATTTTAATACAGACCAAATAAGAAGTCAGCAATTTCTACCCTCTTCTCCATTCCAGGTCTCACAACTTGGCAACACTTTTTAATGGTTCCTATTTTTAGTTTTGTTTTTTAAAATTCATAATGGGATAGAATAATTTCATTTAACAGTCTGCTGTGTTATTGGATTAAACTAGATGACTTGGAAGGTATAATGCCTTGGATTTTGTTTCCCTTTGTTATCTGAAGAAGATTTTGTGGCTTAGGTTGTAACTCTTGGGCAGATAATACTTTTGCCACATGTTATGCAATAAGTGTACTATGGTGTACTTTTGTCAGGGAGTATATTTTGCTATATTGTATACAATAAGTATATACAATGTGATTGTTAATCAAATTGAAGAGCATGATTTGGAGTACTGCCAGAGCCTTCTAACTGAATCTTGTTCCTCACAAATCTTCTATACACAGTCACCAGAGTGTCTATGTAAAGTGAACATCTGGCCCTTTCCCTTTTCTGCTTAGAACTCCACAGAAGCTCCCTCTAACCTGTAGTCACCTAGAGTACTTGTTAAAATGCGGACACCTGAACCTTAACCCCCAAGACTCTGATTCAGTTTGTGGAGAATTCCCAGACTTCGGTTTTTTGAAGCACACACCTGACATTAATGACTCTGGTTGAATTCCAGGGATGTGTGTGTGTGTTTTATTCCTGGTTTGCATGTGGTCCCTAGTTACACTGGTGTCAAGTTTATGATCTTTAGAATGAGAGATAAGTCCCTTCATGAACTGGCCACCTCTTGAGCTTCATTTCTGATCGCTTCTTGTCTTGAATTTCATATTCTGGCAATTTCAAACTGCTTTAATTTCTATTAGATGTTGTGTTGATTTAGTTTAATTTATGGATCAATAGCACAGAAAATGATTCAAAATGTAAAAGATATAAAATATTATACAATGAAAAGTCTTTCTGTTGTCACCTGTCGTTCAGTTTTGTTCCTGGAAGTAACTGCTATCAGTTTCTTGTGTTTTCTTCCAGAAGCAACCTATACCTAAATCAACACGGTGAAATATTCTTTTTCTTTGCCTCATCTCTTTTTATTCAATGATAATACACTATTTAAGCTATTATGTGCCTTTATTTTAGCCTAACAGTATTTGTGGAGATTGTCATAAAGAGCATTTGCACTCCTTTTTTGTGTGTCCTAATTTATCTTCTGCTGTTAAACACACTCCAAAATGAATAACATTTGTGTTCATATACATGTAAATCAAGCTCTAAGACAAATACCTAAAGTTGAAATTGCTGAGTCAAAAGTCATGTGCATATAAAATTTTAATAGGTATGGTCAAATTGCTTCCCTTAGAGATTGTACAGATTTTTACTTTCACCAGCACTGTATAAGGGTACTTGTTTTTCCATAAATAGTTTAATCAAACTATTGGGTCTTTGTCAGCCTGGTGGGTGAAAGATAGTATTTCAGGGTGGTTGAATTTGCATCTTTCAGTGTCTTGTTTGTAGCCTTCTTTGATTTGAATGCTCTTCTTCTGTCCAATTCCTGTTCTTTTTACGAGGTTAAGCTCAGACATTACTTTCTCAGGATGCCATCCTTGGTAACCTTGGTGTGCCTCTGCCTCTCTCTGGCTACCAAGATTGGGTTAGGTATTCTTCTCTTCATTGGGTTAGGTATTCTTATCTGTTATTATTTTCTTCTCAGACTGTAAACTCTTTGAGAGCAAGAACTGCATCTCATTCATCTACCTCTCCACCCCCACACTTCCACTAAAAAAATGTAGTAAAATGTTTCTGATGTTCTGTAAGATCATTTTTAGGTCTTTTCTCCTTGAGGCTCGGGACCAGCTTCCTTCCAGTCCAGGACCTTATTACCAGCTGTCTGTCTTTCCATATGTTAGCTGCTGAAAGTTTAAGGCAGAAGTTAAGCCTTAAGCTTTGGATTCTTTGATAGAGGTTTCAAGTTAAATGTCTTTGAGAAACATGAGCCTAAGTAAAAGG